GTATCAACTCTTGCACTGGCCTCTCCGTCTCGTTTCGGTCTTGCACTGAGTTCAACAGTTCAGGACCGACTTCACACACTAGGCTCGTTATGTCGGACTCGATCGCAGACCAAGATCAAGACGCCAGTCGTCTCAACTGTACTTGACAGTACTCCGCACTGAACCGTCGTAATGCGCCGTACAAAACCACACCGTTGAACTGTGCTGTAGTGAACCTTCTGTCGTGAACCCCTTTTCTGAACCGTCTTGACTGCGACACCTACGCTCTTATATAGGGTCCCTACTGGCCTTCTCGAACCGGACAGAACGCCGCTCGACGTTTCTAGGTGGTCAGATGACTACAACTCTGGTGACGCCCTGAGCTATGTTCACGACGGCGATCCTTCCCGAACCGTCCTGCTGACACTCGACTCTGCTGACCGTCGTCGTAACTCGTCACGGTTGACCGCTCGTCTAGCGCTGGCCTGGGGCGATTTGCGTCGGCTGACCACACTCACACCCTATCTGTGCCACCACCAGGTTTATAACAATACTAAATATGGTAATTAAGTCGATTCTATACGAAGTTTTCTTTATAATCAATTGATATACATATTCGCTTTGGTATAATCTCTTCATGAACATACAGTCTTAGATATGACCTCGACATTAACATTTGATTATTTTGTTTACTGTATCTACTGAATTTGTCTTGCATTTTTTATCACCTAATTTTCAACGCAAGGCTTATCTCCCTTTGACTTAGCGCGTTTTTACCATTGTTCCATATTAAAGTTAAACTAATTAATTACGACTAAGTGATATAGATTAATGGGTCAATGTTTCCACTGATTCACGTTTTACTAGAGGCAATGACTAACTGTTGCAAAGAGTCAACATGATCCGAGATGAGGGAGATAACGTGTACAAAATGGTCAGGAGACGGACAGACAGACAGACAGAGTGACTTACTAAAAGACATCTCACAAAAAGTGATAGTGATAGAAAGAAACAAAAAATAAAAAGACAGACAAGCAGTCGTTGAAAAAAAAAAGATAAGCATTAGATAAGATAATATTAAGATAAGATTAAGATAAGATAAAATAAGCTTAGGATAATATTTAGATAAGGTAGCGTCACTTACTTTCTTTCCATTTGCCAATATTTTTAAATCCTCGTCAAATCCTTGGTTCCAGTCACTGGTCTTTGTGCTGTGTGTCATCTCTCTGTCCACAGTGTCCACCCAGTGGGGTCTGCTGACTTCCTTTGTACCCATAACTTTCACAAAGTATATTCCTAGATTTATATTACACTTTTATGTCAGAACAGTCCTTCACACAACTCAGGGACATCCACGCTATAAGCATTACAGACATCTCAGTGTTCTAGAAGTTTTAAGTCAACGTTGTCCATGACACAAGACTTCTTGACTACACTATGATAAAAAAATATATCCCAGAGAATTGTGAAAAGAGTGAATGAAAGATTGTCACTTCAGCTGAAAGTCGACGAAATCATTTTCTGTGCTATTTTTTTTTCATTATTTTCTTTTTTTTTATTGCCCTATAATTCGTTTTGTTTGGTATAATGCACAAATTGTAAGACAAATTTCCATATAGATAATAAGAAAGATTATTATTAAAATTATTATTATTATTATTATTTCACTGAGATTATTATTCTATTATCTTATTGATTAAGTGAAAACAACAACTAATTAAATCGTAATGATCATTCTTGTTTTTTAATATGCGATCCGAGCACAATAAAAAGTTGAACTAAAAAGGATTGAATCAAAGTAAATCTAATCTCCACCTGCTGTAAGTAACACTTCTAGTTCAAATGAATAAAGAAGAAAATTAGACGTGATACATCAGATGGCAGAGTCGGTAATGAACTTCAAGCCAACCAGCTGGCAGATCTGCATTTTCAAGTTTTTCTCTGCACCATCCTGTTGTTGAGGTTTAAAAGGGAATGAATGAATCCAGGTCTCGGTCGAACGACTGGACACGCCCAGGACGTGGTAAACATCAACAAATTTGTTGTCCTAAAAGTACATAAGTAAGACGGCCATTGACACATTCTAAGCACATGGTAAAAAATATAGATTGCTGAAAATTTTTTTTTGTAAAATACATGAGTATTACTAGCCAATTGAAAGTCGAACTCTAGATTTAACTATAAATAATTTGTAAGAAATAAAGTCGTAGGTATTAAATTTTATTAAATTTCCGTCTTTCATAAATCCGATGTATTCCTTCGGAAATTTCATTGAGAGAAGATCAATTCTAAAATGCTAAATTCTTCGTTTAACTCTTTCTCCCCTAACTAACGATACCAACGTTGATTCAACCAGAAAGTGGTAAATAATTACGGAGAGAAAGAGTTAAAAGTGTTTTCTTTCACACTTCTGTATGATTACTATAATGTAGTAATGCTGTAGTGTTCAGTTGTAGACAAACTTAATTTCCACATGTTTAGACCTATTCAATTATCTTATCTCATATTTAAAAACAAAAACTTTGTTACTAATAATTTTTTTTTAAATGCTTTTATATAGCCGCAAGAGCGTATCTTGTATGCTTATAACATACTCAGTGAACAATAGTCAAGTCTGGACTAGTGGGGGGGGGGGGGGACACCCATGATAGGCTGCTAATGTATAACCAAGAGTTCATGGCCTCTCCGCCAAACTTTTAGTTGCACTATTACAAAGTTAAACTGTTAAACTATATTTAATTCTCCTGTTGCCCATATCGCGTCCTCTAAACGATTTCACGGGGTAACGATGGAGCACTTTGCCTTTTAACCCGGTGCAGCCCCTTTGCTACTTCTAATAAATACGTTAGCGCAGATTAAAGTGAGCGCCTTAGAAAGGGACATACTGCAAGATATATATATTCTCTAGAATCTAGATCATCGTCATTATTTGTGTAAAACGGCTGTACATTTTGTTGGTAAAAAAAAGATGCTTATCACAATAAATTTCAAATAAAAAATCAATAAAGCAGTCTTCTAGAAACTGTCAGGTAGAGTTGAGCCTTCGACTCTTGGAACTCTAGCCCAGCAAAAGTGAACAAGAGCTCCCATTCACCGGCCTGAATGAGAATAGTGTGCACTGTTCTGTCTGGCTGGGTGGGAGGGTCAGACTTGCGGCCAGAGGCCGCGTACACCGGGACCCCGCCATTTTCCTTTTCCATACTAGGCTATCCGTGCAGGACAGCCATTTGTGTAACGGCTTCTTGAGGAACGGCATCTGGATTGTGACCATGTTGTGAGAGCTTTTTTACAACTCCCACAGTGCAATGAGGATGCTTTCGCACCCCCCTTAGGCACCCCCATGGGAGTCTTGTTTTGGTACCCTTTGGCCTAATCGTTTCATTCTACGATCGTATCCACCAGGGCGCCAGTATGAGGCAGGGTAGCATGCCCGGGATAAAGCAGTCTTTGTGTTAGTCTTTTTCTTATAAAATGCAAAAACAATTCATTTAAATTAATGTGTGACTTACAAATAGGCCTCAGCTCAGCTTTTTATGACGTATTTATCTAAAGCTATAGGCATGGTTCTTGACTAGACATTCTATAGATGTATATTGTGTATCGAGATAGGGGCCACTGCTTGGCAGCTAAGCTGTTCACTTTACGTCTGCGTTTCATAAAATTCACCAAGATGACCTCTTTTATTCTCATGACTTGCTGTTCTGCCTGCTCTGTGAAAACATTCACGCCTGCTTTAATAAAATGTGTATGATTATGTGATATTTACTAGCTGAATATGACCCGCGGCCTACAGGGAATCGACTGAATCGTATTCAGATCTATGTCAAACTATGGCACATATTTTTAAATTTTGCCACGAAAAGAAAGGTGAGTATGACAATGGGTTTACCCGTTTAGCCGACATATTCATATCCAATGAGCATTACTGTGAAAACGGGTTTACCCGATTTGTTAAAAAAAAAATAGTTTTAATAGTGATACAATTAGTTACTTTTCGCCTATTTTTTCAGCCCCCCCCCCCCCCCCCCCCCGGTTGTGTGAGGGATATTAAACATACACTACGGTATCTGTCGTGATCTAAGGAACTTTTATGTCAAGTTTTTATCAAGATTGGTCAAACGGTTTTTATTTTAATTAAGCGTATACATACATACGTACGCCTTACTTTCTGCTCTATGTATTAGATTAATATATGGTTAGTATGATTATATCATAGAATAACATTTTCATGTACGGTATATTTCAAGACTTTCATTGTTGGAACGCTTTAATTTTAGAAAATGTTTCTCAAATCTATTCTTTCTATTTCATTTCATCTTTGCTTCACTATACAACTGTTTATATTGAACATTTTGATGTTATTAAGTCAAATCACGTTGTTGTTATTTAGTATACTAATTACTTACGAAAAAGACGCTAATTATTTACGTTTTAATTAGACACCGAGCTTTTGGCTCAACTCGTCAAACAGGATCTGGCAAGGAATCATAGACTGACTTGCCTCATTGCACGATCAAATTCATGACGTTGGTTGCATTAGGTGTGTAGGAGGTGAGTGGTGACGTCACCATGTCTACCAACAAACTCAATTATTTGTAGCTACGTTTTACTATTTCAGCGTTAAAAATTTATTCAATTCCTATAAGAGTTGTTTATTCACAATGCTAGCCACCTTTTTTTTCCATTTTTTTTTATATATTTATTTAATGTCATCACATTTACTTTTAGAAGGTGCAACCCATGGAGTAATTAAAAATAAAAAACAAAGAGCATCTTTTTATGTATGAAACCTGAAATGTGAGGTCTTATCTAATAAAATACAGACGTCAATAAAAAACAAAGAGGATAATAAACGACCCTACGCATTTCATGTGTCAAGCTAGTCATATATTTTAATCAATGACTTAAACTTTGCCAAGTCGTTGGTTCTAAGATTGTAGTTTAACATAATACTTTAACACACCTTGTCCAAGGTACAGAATTTTAAGGCTTGAATAATTAAAGAAGAAATTGATGCAAAATTACATTTTCCTTCTTTTTATTTTTTAAAATTAGATCAAAATGACATTGGACATATATTATAAAATAAAAACAAAGATCTTTTGACATTTGAAAAAAATTGTATTGATCTCACATTGTCTGACACAAACATTAGCAACTGAGCCAAGTAGAACCAAAATAAAAACATTTGGTGAGGGGCTGGGGCCTACAATGTGTTTGTGTTTTGTCTAGTTGTGTAACACCGAGGGCTAAGGATCAATGTTTTATGAAAATAAACTTGATAGAAACACAATGGATCAGAACTCTCTGATTTACGAATCAAAATAATTAAAAGCTGAATGTCTTTGGAAAGAGTGCGTGTCACGTGAATCCGTAGACCAAGCTTCAACCTACATATTTAGCACACCTTATGTAGTGAAATCCTCTTTCGAGAGAAGATTAAAAATTATTATATGTCCTTTTATATCGTCTATCTAATGTAGTATTAAAATGTTTTACTATAAAATAGATCAATGATTTTTTTTTAAAGTTCTAATAAAACTATTTTTAATGTAGATTTTAATTACATTGTAGTATAACTGATAGATCTATATTATACATGTTACAGAGCCTGAATGTATTACTGCATTATATTGATAACTCATAAGAAATACATGGTAAAGGGCCTATGTGTACTGCTGCATTTGTCTTGAAAACTGATACATGTTGCAGGGCCACTATGTGTTACTGGCTTTGTGTTCAATAATGCATGATATGGGACCATCGTGTACTGCTGTGTTTACTGTGCTCACTACTACAACCTATACTCCATAAGTAGTATACTGATGTACCAATTGAGCAAGGTGTTGGTTAGAAAATAAAAAATGTAGATCAAACATGCCCGTGTATTGCTTGAAGTAAAACAAAACTAAAAAAATTATTGGAAAAATTCGTTCCACATTCAGCCTCTCACGAAATCTAATTTTAAAAAAAAGTTTGTTTTTAAACTTTGAACAAAAGTTTGCTGAAATCAAACTCATTAAAAAAATTAAAAAACAAAACAGAATGACATAGACATCTGACAGTAAGCTCCACTATAAAAAGCCATAAATGTTATGAACACCTAAAAATGAGCTAAATCCGATTGAAGAAGTCGTTTCCAAATAAAAACTCTACAGCATCAGAAAGAGTACTGGTGATTGCGGTAAAAGAAAATTTACAAGCATCTATCGACTTACAGATTAAAATCATTTCAAAAAAGTCAAATTTCTGGAGCATGTAATTGGTCTTTGATTCAATTGATTAGGTCTAGCTAGTGATCCACATTGTTAACCTGGACTCGCCCAAAGAACTGAATATAAAATAATTTACTTTTTCTAATCTTTTCATTAATGATTTATAAACAAAATATTAAAAACATAACCCTGACTTTTACTGTTGCCATAGTAAGAAGTAGCCCTAAATAATTGGTTGATTGAAAATAATTCGTAAAAGTTAATAACTCTTATTAAGATTTCATGGATATTTCAATTTAGTTTGATTCGGAATTCGAAACAACTTTAGATACAGCAATAATTAGTTCACACATTTTAACCCTTTGCTTGCTCCTTAAGATTGCTTTGTTTTATAATGGGCTGATTATTTGTTGTGACGGATCACTGTAGCATCTGAACCACTGATCACTGAACCAAAAAATAAAGTAAATATCATGAAAAAAAATTCCATTGATTTTGTAAGCATTACAACTGATCACGTTACAACTGATCACATTACAACTGATCAGGTTACAATTGGTCACGTTACAAAATATCACGTTACAAAAGATCACGATACGTTATCAGAGACTTATTCTTACACGACACAATATCACATTAGGTAAAAAAATAAATATATCATAAAAAAAGGAAACAACTGATTTTTTAATTGATCTGCAGTCACAAAACTGGTTCTCTTCTCTTGTCATGGTTGACATTTTTTTTAAAAAGTTAAACGCAATAAATAAACAATTTTGAAATTTCCCGCCATTTTCATTAAACATTAAATTTTAACAACTACATTCTTTAAACAGATTTCCATAACATAATGATTCAATTATTTTTGAAGAAATTGACAAAAATTATTCAAATCTTAGGAGCCATTACTGAAGTGTGGAATGGTTTGACCAATCGCTTTAAAACACACTGGTGCGCAGGTCAGACCAGAAATGCACAAATGGTTTGAAAAGGTAATGTACATTTATAGAACCAGAATGGCGAATAAATAAAACGGTAATGAGACATGAAACGCGCCCTCTGATGGAGGCGCGAACTCAAATCATCCCGAGGAACTTAGATGTGCAAGTACTTCGGCAGTCCGGCTGTGAGTGCGGGACATAGCGTGTCTTCAACTTCATGGTCCTCAAAAAGATTTCCGATTCCACCACGCAATTTTCTTTGTTCTGACAAAGCGCGGTGGCGGCTGCCCTGTACACGAAGTCGCAGTGGTCCTGTGAGACCCCAAGTGAGAATCCCTGGAAGGAAAAAACAAAGTAAACTGACTGGGTGGTAAAACAAAATGTGTTTGTAGTGATCAGAGCTGCAGCAATGGACGCATCTATAGTTGCAACATTGACTACGTTATAATTTAGAATAAGAAATTATTTTTATAGATACTTTAAAAAACACAAAGCTTATCTTAAGAGAATATGTATCAATTAGTTTAAATCAGACATGTAATTAAATTTGTAATAGATCTAGACTAACAATAAAAAAGCATTTATAAAAATAAAAATGAGGGTACGAACTGAATTCGAACTAATTGCTCAAGCTTTCTCAGGCGTCTCAAACCAACACGGTAACCACTCTGCTAGTGGAGAGCTTATGAACATGGAAGATTTTATAGTTATCTATTGTTTCTAGAGTCTCGACCGATATTTCAGGTTTGTGTTCACTAAGAGTGAAAAAGGAAATTCCCAAAAGCAAAAAAAAAATAATTTATCAGGCTACTATAGTTTTAAAAAAATGAAATGTTTCCCTTTTCAGACTGCTTAGTCTATAGCTCTTTTGTTTATATGGCCTGTGGTTAAAGAGGGTGTAATGTGGTCAGCACAATGTTTAACTGCCTTTACTATTCCCAATCTGGGTGGACTCAGAGGCACCCCAAAGATCCCGAAATTAAAACCCTAGTCTTCACCAGAATTAGAACCCGGGATCCCGGTTCTGAAGCCAAGCGCATTACCACTAAGCCACCACTGTCTCCAGCCAGGTATATTACTAATTTCAAAAAAGCTCCAGGGAGCTTGGAAACTGCCTCAATCTTAAAGGAAGTACAAAAGAGATTCGGATGCTCAGTCAGTTCAGTATTTGGTTCTTTCAATAAATAAACATTTCATACTTTTGGTGCCGTACTGAGCTTATCCTTTTATAAAAAAAAAAATCAAGAAAGAAAATAAAAATGAAATAGCTTTTTTTTTTTTTTTACTAATTAGAATTCTGCAATTAAGTAGCGTACAATTATGCAGACTCCACAGTACAAGTAGGGTTGTCATGTTGAACTGGCATTAAAAGCACAAGGTTTAGTCTTATTTATACCGTATATACTAGTCGACCAGCGGCGTAGCATACGCCTCTATTTTGGAGGGCCGGCCTAAGGCCACTGCAACCTATGCGACCACAGTGGGCCTAGCACTTTCATAGGAAATTCTAATTCTAGGTGTATAAATTATTAAATTAAACCATTTTATAACTTATGACAGATTTCCCGCGGCCTCCTGTCGATTTAACAGCAGCTCCTGAAAATCTCCTGAAATTGAAAAATATACGAAAAAGTCCTGGAAATATCCGGAAATTATTTAAATCTTTTGAATAATCATACAAATCTCCTGAAATATATAGACTAAAATTGTCATTTTGGGGTGTCATTCAAAATGGAAAACGCCAATCCTGCGCGCGATAAAAAAAAAAGGCATTATGCAATACCCGCAATTGTGGGATCTAGTGAAAGAAGCTTATCGAGCCTCAAACTAATGAAGAAATACTTGAAATCAACAATTCTCGTAGATAGATTGAAACATTTGGTAATTCGTGCTATTGAGCGTGATCTATGTAGTTAATAGAATGTTTATGATGCACTGTATGACTTCGTTACACACAAGGCTCGTAAAGTAATTCTGTACGTAGTCAAGAATGAATAAAATGCAAAGACGAATTTATTTTCTAATACAAACTCTTAATTTTCACTCATTATTCGTATCCCTACCCAAACTTTGCCCCGCGAAATCAGTTTCGCATATGGCTCTACAATGGTTATGTCCGGCCCTGCTATTTAGGGACGGATAAATACTACTCCCCCACCCCCAATCCCTTTTTTTTTTCGCCTCTTAAAGTACCTAGAATAACTCCCTCCGTCCGAGTTGCAACAATGAATGAATGATCTTTCCATGGTCTCCAAACTCTTGAGCGTGCTCTGTCGCCTCGATAGTTACTACAGAGTAGATTACTCCCCCCCCCCCCCCCCCCCCCCCCCGTTTTTTTAACGTGAGGTAGAAATAAATTTTAAAAAAAGTGATATTTCTTGTTTACAACGGTCCAGCCCTGCTACTTTGTGACTACGTGCTCCCCCCCACCCCTTTTGTTTTCTCGTGGACTATCCGCAGAAATAAGAGAGTGATCTCTCCTTTACTCCTTCTTCTCGTTTAAACTGTTGAGGGAAGAAGAGAATTATATATATAGATATTGCAGTGGCGTTGAGTAAGTGCTAACATTAGCATTGATAACTGAAATTATACTCTTAAACTTTTTACTTTACTATTTATTGTTCCTATTTTATTTATTTCTTGCAGTAGTGTTTGGGAGTTTGTGCCAAGCTTATATTTACTCTGTCTGTCTGGTAAAAAGTGTGTACACGTTATTTCTCCCACACCCATTCTGGGATCGAGAATTATTCATTGGGATAGACAATACTTGAATCAATGATAAAATGAAAGTAACCAATTAGTCAATTAATTACTAATAATTAATTATTTTGTTTGATGCCAATAAGGGAAATTAATCCTTCAGTACTCACAGATAAGGCTAAATTTGTTGGGTTTAGTTCCATCATGAACGCTATGTTCTACTATTAAGTTGATACTTTAAACAATTATTTATTGTACCTATAAAAAAAAATGACTCAATAAAAAAAATAACCAATTAGTCAATTAATTATTGGTATTTTTTTTTTGGGTTCATATCGAATAAGGGAAATAACATTCAAACTATTGATAGATATAGTTTTAAAGGCGGAGTTCTTCCCTTTTAGATAAGCTTTATTTCTTTAAAGAAAAGGATATTGTTCTAATTTGCTTGTTTGTTTTTACGAACGTGTCAATAATGTGTCAATAATGTGTCAATAGTCAAGCTAAAAAAAAAAAGTCCCCCAAAAAAGTGGCTCAAAATAATAATAGGAATTTTTGTTACCCATTCATGAACTAATAATTTGAACGGTGAATTCCAATGTTGTTTAGTAAAGACAATCCCGTAAAAAACAATGAAACTGTGTGGCCAGCAAAACGACCACAAAACCCCCACACTTTACAGGGCGACAGATGTCCCCCTAGGGACAAGTTAAAGTAACGGACTAAAAGCTTGGTTTCAACAAATATTCAATTTACTGGGTTTAGAGTCGTAACTCTTACGTTCGACAAGCAAACATACAACCAGATCGGCATGACCACATTATGTCATAGTGACTTGAATTCATCCCTAGGCTATTAAATTTCAAATTTAATGGAACCCCCTACTAAGTACTTTTAGACACTGTCTATGTTACAAACTTTTTGTATGTCATGAACGGACACGCAGACGTGGGGAGGTGGGGAAGTAACGTGCGGAACCAGATTCTGAGCCTCCCCCCCCCCCCTCCCACTACCGCTTTCCCCATCAATCATCCGGACAAAGTGGGCAGGGCGTATGCTATACCTAATTACACGCTAGGCAAGTTCCTTCAGATGTTGTTTAATGTTATATAATTGGTGGGCTATTTGCCGCTTTTGTGGATTTCTTTATTATGTCCATATACTGAGCTTTGAAATAGATTTGAAAACGACGGAAACACATTAGGGCATTATTTCATTTACATTTCAATATCTATTTTAGCAAAGATTAAACGAACATTAATCATACATGAAATATTTTAAATTACAATGAGACCTCCCTTGAACTCCCACACGTTGCGCTCAAATGTTAGTTTTACTGTAGCCAAAACATCTAAAAACTAAGTTGAAATTTTCTTTTAAAAAAATGTATCTTTCAAATAAATATCAAGCAAGTGAAAAAGTCGAATCGGAAAGAAAACGAAATTAAAACAACAAAACATTCGTACAACCATAAATAATTTAATGAAAATTTAAAATTAATTTTAAACAAGTTACAAAGACAGTTTGTGTGGAAACACTAACTCAAAATCGGCCCCCGAAGTGGTCCACCCAGGCAGGAAAAAAGGCAGTTTTCAATTTTTTCAGAAAAATATTGGTATTTAATTCTGTCTGAAGTAGTCCGCCCAAGCAGGTAAAAAGGCAGGTTTCAATATTTTCAAAAAGAATATCATAATGAAATTCTATCAAAGGCAAATGACAGCGAAGAATGGAGAAAGAAGGTAGACAGATCTTGTGTGGTGCCCCAATGGTCCAGCAGACCAAGGGAGAGGTGAAAGTGAATATGAAGTTAGATGTGAACCTGGTCTAACTGATGTCCTATAATGAT